ACTACAGGAACCCAGGCCCCCTTCACCTGGTTTTTTCAGGATTTGGGCTTCTAAGGCTGGCGTGTGGCACCGCTTTCAGTTCAGTACACAATATCTCAAGTGTGTGTGTGTGTGTGTCAAAAGTCCGGAGCGCATGCGTTTGGCTCAGTGAGGGACACGAGGGACACGCATGGTGGAGAGAACGTGGACACTCCTATAGGTCAATTTCTTCTTATAGGAAACTTCTGCCGCCGGCTTGCCCGGGAACTACTTGTATTAAGGAACTCTCCAGGATATTGTAAGACAATTCATGACAATTCCATGTTGCTGTCTTATTTACTTGGATTTACAGGATTCCCATCGATCTACGCGCTCTACGTACAAGCTGTTTTGGTGAACTACTGTAATTTGTATAGACGGCATTTGTCCCACTGTGGTAGATTTCCAAGAACGTTTCTCGTCATTTGTATGCCGGGCCTTGGTTGGCCTTAGTTGTGCAGTTGTGCAATTTTGCAAGACATGTTGAAATGTTGTGTCATTCTACGGAGATAGTCTGTATAAAGTGGCCTGACCACATGCCATGTCTATAACATGCACCGAAAATAATCCAACCCTCCAATCAACGAGCCTGTCACATAACATAGCTGTACTACTTGTCGAACCAGCTCGCGTCAGCTTTTGCATTCCTTACTATTCCATGCGCAGCTGAATCAGGAGTTCATTTGGCACGTCGCTTTTGGTGCTGCCCCGGTCCTACCAAGACGAGAAGAAGATCCGACGCTTTCCACCATTCTACGGTTCACCTTGGATGACACAACATCCCTGCCTCTCCCAGATCTTTCTTTGCTATTACACTGGCAAGCAAACAAGCAATGAACTGATTATGCTGACAGACTCGGTTTCCATTCATACTGCTTGCCTCTTGAACTGCCGACTGTGAATGAAGCCCAAAAGATGAGATCGTGACATGCGGCAGATTTTGTCGTCACAAGAAGTGCTTCAGATACGCCTTATATTATGCTTGAAAGAGAGAGGTAGGAGATGGCAGGAGAGCTTGAGGGCTTCTTTCGTCAATGTTTCAGGTAAAACAAGTGCTGCCACTGTAAAGTTTAGCAAAGAAAGGGTTTGATATGTTTTGATGATACATTTCGAGATGTATCGAATATTTTGCAACTTCATATTTCCTGTTCAATTTCCAGAACTTTTTGCTAGGGGTTGATGGACTGCATCATCACCAGTGCAGACCTGATCACTTGGCGGGGGCCTTTGTTGGTGTCTGTGGATGTGTGCGCGTGCCTTTCCGTGTGTGCAGTATTTGTGTCTTTGTTTGTCGTTTGCATCAGTGTGTGACTTTCAGACATCGCAGGGGCAGGGGCCTTTGGGATTCTAGGGCCGGTCAGAATTTTCAGACGCCTGGAAGCCTGAAACATATATATTCGGCAGCCAAAATGCATGCCTTTCATACATGCCTTGCCAGGATAGAAAGTGTCGAGAATCGAGTACTCCTCTACGAGTATTTGCAGCTTCGGGCAAAGGCGGTGCACTCTGTTTGCAATTTGTCCGACACATTTGCAGAAAAAGTCTAGATCGGATTTGAGAGGATATTGCTTGACAGGCCATCGCTTGGTACAAAGAGCCAGCGCAGGACAGTCGCTGATTGCATATTGCCATCCAGAGTACACCGTCCAATTGCCCATCAGAGTCACAGAGTCGATTTTGTAGACCAGGAAGACACTGCCTTAGTATGCCAGAGTCGATTTGGATGCGTGGAAATTCGCGGAACAGCCATAGAGAAAAAAGGTCCTAGTAGATTCCTTTGCTAGTAATTACAATTCTAATTGAATTCCTATTGTTACTACTAGTAAGGCACTTGTTTCTAGTAGCGATGCACTTGTTCCTAGTAGCTTCCTTCCATCGTTTCTTGCTGGAGCCGTTTCGATTCGAAGGCTTACTTTGATGGAAGGCGAAATGTCATGCTGTCGTCGACGAGCTCTCAGTGCTGTCTCAGTGCTGGCGTCATATGTTCATGTTGTTCGCTCGAACTGTTCTGGTCCACTGGTGGCAAAGTCTTACTGTAGCTGCTCTTTTCTTGGCGGTTGCAACGACATCATGATTTGCATTGCTATGCAGTGCAGCCCAAACCTCATGAACCAAGTTTCACAAAGTTGTAATGTTGCATGTCGCAGACGACCACCTAGTGCCATGCCTTTCCTGTTATAGTTATAGTGCGCTACATTCCTACAAAACATCAGAGGCATTTTTGGTGGTCCCTTTGCCAAATAGCAATCTGCTGAGTCGTGGTGATTCTATGTCTCAATCGTCTCATAGCTATGCATAGCTGTCAGATCCGGCAATCATGGCGTGAGTGACCCTCTGAGGATAGAGCAGCCAGGTGCTTCTGAGGCCAGTTCACTCACCCGTCGCCGCAGATGTTGGATTTCATGCTGACTGAGCTATGACAGCGATCAATTGCTACGTTTCCTTCCAAACATTCCGAACCCTTGAAAGATCTTGAAAGGTGCTTGCAAAGTTCCTTGAAGAGGAAATGGCGCGCACGCAAGATGTGCAGTCGTCGCTGCTTGTTCAGTATTTGCACAGCTCTGGTTCCTGTGAACGACATATATATATATATATTATAGTGTTTCGTCAGGCAACTACTAAGGAAGCACTTTACGATATGCCAGACAAGGCAGGTGTGTATGGTGTGGCCATGACATTGATTATGCTGCAGAGGTTAGCAAGGGCAAACCTATGAAGAGGAGTTTCCTCTTTTCCAGGGGCACTACCTGCCGAATCTGTTCAACCCTCATGACGACAGCCTGGGCCAAGACGGCTGTGTGGACATAGACGAGTAGCGAGTGGCCCACGCGTGATGCCTTCTCAGTATGGTCCGTGTGTCGGAAATTGCGGCATCTTTGTGGAGAAGCTGCGAAGCTTGGATGAACGATGTCAGTGAAACGATTCCCAAGGAATATTCTAGTTGCAAAGCGTTTTTGTTACTAGTAGCGATGGCCTCCAACCTGATAGTGATGGCCTCCACCTAGCTTCTAGTTATTAGAAAGCTCTTGTCACAGGTGAAACGATTCCCAGTGAAACGATTCCCAGGGGGCTTGGGCATCTTTGCGGGGAAGCTGCGAAGCTGCGAATGTGTCCGCCTTCAACTCGTTTTAGCAGCGGATTGAGAGAATCAGAGATTGCCCGCCCAGAAGCGGTGGGACAAAGGCTTTTCTGATTCTGTTGTGACTTGAAAACCTGCACCTCCGACACTTGCCAGAGGCTTGATGAATTGCAATTGTTGCTCCCACATCAAGGACTAACTGGTTTGTAGTCCTTTTAACGATTTGTTCCTTCACAGCTCGCAGAAGCATGCAAAAGTCACCACATGATTGGAGCTATTTGGAGCTAGTAGTCAGACTCATTGTAATCATACTACTGAAGCACAGCAACAGCAGCGGCAACAGCACCACCCTCAACATCTATAGCTTTGCTTGGGAATATAGTAACAAGAAGCTCCTAGCGGCTCCTGGCATCGCTACTAGGAGCAAGGACGCTACTAGGGGCTCCTGGCCTTACTACTAGGAGCAATGTTCGCTACGAACGGAACAAATCATCGTCCTCGTCTCCACCGGAACTCCTTCACGTCGCCATGGGTCGCCGAGCGCCCAACATCGCGTTGCTGGGAGCCTTCGCTGGCTTCGCCTGCACGGCGTTTCTGGTGGTCCGGCCAAGCCCAAGCCGTCTTCCACGTGCAGCAGGGCCGACCTTGGAAACAGTGACCTGACACGCGGAAGTGGTGGCGGAGGTGCAGGTCGCAAGTGGGTCACTGGAATCAAAGCACAAAAACGACAAAGCCCTACCATAGACATTATGTTTGTGATTGAAACTTGCTGAATAGAACAAGCAGATGGGACATCCTTTCTACTGGTCCTGGTATGTTCACCTTCTACAACAACGTCTATACATGACTAACTGCATATCCCAAATTCACTATCTTGGCCCTGCAAATCAACCGTGGGACTCATTTACTCTAACTGCTGTAAGTATCCCCAAAAAAACAATACCATCCAATACGTGCAAGACCGACACGCAACAATTCTCATCCTATTTCATACCGTGTTTGTGTGTATTGACCATTCACAGCCTGTCGATGTAGGCGTAGCATTGTTGTCCAGTGCTAGATCTGCCCGGCTTGTTTTGCAGTGGTGTTCAATAATCCTGACGCTGTGTTGGTGATGATTTGTGAAGTTTCTTGCTTCGGATTCGATAAGTTCGCTTCCGGATCGTTCATGCTTTGATCCCTGATGTTTTCCGCTGCCATTCAGGGATCCCTTCGGCCAACTGTGGCACTTGAAGCCCGAGGCCTGAAGACAGGCCAGTCCCCGCGACACTTGCTGTTCGCCATAGGTGGAAAAGACCGCCTCCGGTCGCATCGAGAAGTGTACCAAGTTTACTTCGCTTTTGAGTGCCACCGGCTACCTGACATTGGTAGCGGAGCCGGGCGGTCCTGCCTGGCTCGCTCGGTCTGCTGACCGGGCTTTGAGATCAAGTTCTTCGAGGCCGACCTCTCTGAGAACGGTGGCTTCGCCTACGACTACGCTAGAACTCCATCCTCGAGGATTCCGATAAGCTCTTCCTGGCGCTGCTGCCTGCTGCTGAGGAGAGCTCTACTCCCTGGTCATCTCCCTCGACCTGTTTGAGAAGGACCTCATGAGTTCGAAAGACTTCACAAAGAGGTTGCTAGTTGGAATGGAGAGCCAACAGGCTGGAATGACTATGCACGACAAGTTCGCCTATGTTGGGAGAAGACACCAAAGCACAAACGAAAGCTCTTGGGGCCAGAATTGGCCAGCAAGCTCACTGGAAGGGCATGGGCTGTGACTCCAAACTTGGATCACAGCAAACTTGGAAAGCGCAACGGCACCAAGTATCTCTTGAAGTACCTCCAGGAGCGCCTTTGCCGCACGGCCATCCCGGATGCTGGAGCAAGGTTGGAGGATCTGCTGATCCGACTACGCAGGCCATTGGGAATGGCCATGAGTCAATGGGCCAACGAGGTCCTCGAGGGCTACAGGAAGGTGCAGAGAGCTCTCATCAGGGCACGACAGCTCCAGAGATCCAATGGACAAAGAAGAGGTGAAGAGTGTCTCGGAGCCGCATCAAGAACCTCCTACATCCCCTACGAGGAGGACACCCGCTTCGAGCCCTACTCACCGGACGACCCCGAGCCCAACACGCAGAACAGTTGGATATGGAGCAGATCCTCAGGCGACCATTCAAGAGTCTGAGGATGAGCAAGGTGACTATGCAGCGATCCCTCAACGAGATCCTCATGAGCGTGATGATGAAGATGACCATGTCGGTCAAGGTTGGACTGACGCGGAGTGGAGAGAATGGAGAAAGCAACAACGCAAAGACTGGTATGACGACGACTCCAGTTCTGGTGAAGACCTTCCTTGGGATGAGCTGCAAACCGAAGAGATTCAGGTCTTGCCGGACGAGGTGCTAGGTTGGCTCTTGCTCAGACGGGCCAACTTGAGTGCTGCATCACGTTTGTCGGTGCAGGCTTCCGTGAACAACTCCCTGAAGTTCCAGGGCATTGAGGTGGCGCTACGAGATCAGGAAGAAGAACTTCTTCAAGCGGATCAATCTCGAGGACAGCATCATGGCAAGCGCCGCACTTACTGGGTTGAAGAAGAAGGCCAATGGGGCCTGATGGCCACGACTTCTGAGGAAGTGGATGATGCAGCGGAGATCCATTGGGTTGGACCTCAACTTCCTGCTGAAGTATATGACCCAGGAGTTGGTAGTTCCTTGGACACTGAGGAGGACGATGTGTTCTGGACTTGGGAGGTTGATGGATGGCATGGATATTGCCAAGATGCCTATGGGTACTGGCTCGAGACCGATGGACATGGTGCCTTTTGGAGCGCAGATGAAGGCTATTCCGACCTGAACCCCGAGGAGGTCAAGGAGCTGGATGAAGCCTATATGGCCTATGAGAACAAAGCTCGCGCCTTCATGCAGAGCCGACAACTTCAGCGAGCAAAGGGTGCTAGCCGAGGATTCTACCCCCTCGGAATGATGAAGGGCAAGAAAGGAAAATCGAAGGGTAAGTTCAAGAAAGGAAAGGGGAGCGGAAGTTTTAGCTCCTCGAGCTCTTCGTCTTTGCAGCCGAAGCCGCTATTTGCAGCTCAAGGTCAAGATGGTGGACCATCGACCTCTTCGAGTGTGGGATGCTTCATTTGCGGAGACAAAGGACATGGTTTTCGAAACTGTCCCAAGAGGACATCTTCCTCGAGTCCTTCATTTGGAAAGGGTTCAAAGAAAGGAACCTACTGGGTTGAAGCCTTGACTGGATCCCCTCTTGCCTTTGTGGGCATGGCCATGGACGAGAATGAGGTGATCCACAACACTGATGGTTATGGTGTGCTGGATTTGGGGGCCACAGAAACCGTTGGCTCTCTTGAAGCTTTGGAAGCACTCATGATGATACGCAGCACTGTCCATGGAATCCAAGAGCCGGTGGAGGTGTTCACTGGACCTTCATCGAAGAAACCTTTTCGCTTCGGCAATGGTGGAGTGCAAGTCTCCTCAAGCTATGTCATGGTTCCCCAGCGCCTTGGTGATAGACTAGTGTCACTTGGTGTGTACACGATCGACGCTGAGAAAGTGCCCATTCTGATCGGCATGAAGACGCTTGAGAAGATGGGAGCGTTGATCGATGTTTGTGGCCGCTGGTTGGTGCTCTCTGCCATCTCGCCTGAGGTGAAGATCCCTTTGGCTAAGAGCCGAGCAGGTCACTTGTTGGTGAATCTCACCATGGATTGGCTCAACGTGAGTCAGCCTTTGAAGAGCGCTGGAGACCATCGAGTGTACATGGAGCCTTGTCGATCGTCGTGGTTGCAAACAACTCCACTCATCACCAATTCCTTTCAGTCAGAGCATGTTTCCTGCAGTTCATTTTCGTTCACGTCGTCAGCTTCAGCTTTGACTTGTGATGTTGTTTGGATGATGAGACATGAAGGCGAAGAAGGTAGTCCAGGTGAAGACTTGCATGGAGACGGAGTTTTTCTTTTGGATGATCACCACGAACTTCATCCGTTGCCTTCAGTGACTCAAGAGATGAGAGACATCATCCTGCAACAGCTCATCAGCCCAGAGAGCGTTGCATCCCCGAACTCTCCTCGCCACGAGGAGAAGGTGGCACCGACGAAGAAAGCCATCCCGGCCGAGGAGAAGTACGACTGGTCGAGGACTCAAGGGCCCGACAAGGAGGATCCACGAACCTCCGGGCCACCATGCCACGGAGAACATGTGGAAGCTCTCCCAGGCAAGGGCTCAGTCACGGGGAGCAACAAGTACGCGCGCTGGACCGGATGCCAAGCATGCGGACTGAGGCTCAGCTACACGCCGACCTGGGGCAGTCATGGCCTATGCAGACAAGCTGGCCCTTTGCACCAAGACACCACCAAACAGCTCGAAGAGAAGAAGCCAGCAAAGGGTTCTGTCGACCTTGTGAACAAGAAGATCGGCTACGACGCCCAGGAGCGCAGCATCATGGACCAGCTCAAGATGGTCCAGGCCAAGAAGGAAGAGTGGCTCAAGACTCAAGCCATCAAAGACAAGAACTTCAAGGAGAACGAGTTGATGGACAACGGCAAAGGCCCTGGGAAGGGCTATACACAAGGCAAGGGCCAAGGGAGCTCAAGTCAGCATCAAGTGGAGACAAGTTTGATGTCTTCCGGACCAATCCCGACGGAGAAGACTCCGGCGGTGCTTGCCGAGGAGATGAGCCACACGCCTGGTCGCAAGAGCCGCAAGCCCGAGGAGACAGCGGAGGATTTGGAGTATGGTCAGAGGCTCACAGAGAGTCCGGAGTCGGAAGCTTGGTCGATGATCTCAGGTCAGCCGGGCGGAAGAACACAGTGAAGAACATGTCGGAGGAGGACAACGCCCGAGGACTGAGCATGACCGTTTCACAAGCATGGAATTCACCTACATCATCGCCACCACCTATGGCTGAATCGACCGAGATGGTCTTGGAAGAGAACCTCACCTCTGAGGGAGAAGGAGATTTCACCCCTGATAGCATTTTGCCATCAGGAGACATCGGCATTTTGCAGATGGACAACCCTTCCAAAGGCAAGCGAAAGAAGAGAGACCAGGATGACAATGAGGTCTTCGTCAACAAGCTTGAGAAAGAAGAGAAGACTTTCCTGGTCGACGAGGTGGAAACCTATTTGGAGGAGGTTGAAGAGCTCATGATGACCCTGACGACCACGAACAATGAAGGTAGACCACCTACAGTTTTGGAGCTATGCTGTGAAGAGAACAGTGGGATCACTCGTGCGCTGGAGCTTCGAGGAGGAAGAGGCATCCGTTGTGGATTG